CCCCGGCTGGGCCCCGCCCCCGACCGCCGTTTTCCCTCCCGTCCGCGCAGCTGGTGGGCTCGGACGGTGGGCTGCAGCAGCGGCTGGCGGAGGCGATCCTGCGGGAGAAGAAGAACTTCAAGATCAGCATGTGAGTGGGGGGGGGACAGCGGGACGCCCGGCCGCAGGCCCGCGGCGGGAGCGCACGGGGTCCCGCTGCCGCCCTGGCCGCGGGACGGAGCCGAAGCAGCGGCTGTGATGCGGGTTCACGGAAAGTTTCTGCTGCGGAAGGGCCCGCATGGAAACTGCCTATAAGTGCAGCTTCTCGCCAAGTGGCGGTGGTGGGAGCCGGAGGGTGCGGGCTTCAGAGAACGAGCTTGCTGTCGTGGGCACCGGAGGGCACTGCTGCACGGCACGGATGTGGCAAGCCTCTGCGGAAGGCAAACTGCTCAGTCTTCAGGGCACGCGGCTGGGGCGTGATTAGAAACGGGGGGTGGAAATAATTCTCGCGGTCGTCACGTTCACTATGCACCTACCATTGCCCTTTGGATGGTGCAGTGATGTTTGATACTAAATTGGAAGGGTATGAGAGGAGCACAGGTATTTTTTTGTCTCCTGTGAGACTGGCATATACAGGAATTAAACACCCGGGGACAAAATGGGACAAGTACAACGCTTGCAACTACTTGCAACCAAACAAGTTTTCCTGAAAGATGTCCTTTACTTTTGGAGCTTTTCACAGCCATTTTCTGGTTTGTATGCATGTACGTGCTTTTCCTCCTCAAGCTATTAAGACACATTTGCAATTTTAACTTTATCTGCATGACAAGTCCTGTCTTAAAAGCTCGATTAACTAACTTTTTACAGTATAATGTCCTTGACAGCTCTCTTGCCAAGACCAAATGAGTTTAGTCAGCTCTTCAGAAGGTGTTTGTGTTACTTCGCTGCTGTAAGCCAAGGTGATGCAGTAAAGGCAAACCCAAGCTAATGCTCTACTAGCCAGTTAGAGCAACTGTACTACTCTGATCATGGCGTCTTGGATGTTTGTGCTAAGTAATAGTAAGTTAATTACCCAATTTTCTGTGCAAATCCTGCAGCCTCTGCTGAGCTGTGGAGTGCCATGGCTAGATGGCTGCTGGTACTGCAGCTGGGTAACTACACAAAGGCATGGAAACTTAGGCTCATGCTACAGAGCAAGATAAGTCCCTGCACTAGTATCACTAAGGAAGCAGAAGTCTTTGACAGTTTTTTCCCCACTGTGTTGCTTTGGGATAATATACATTACAAAGAAACATGGTGTCTTGTCTGGCAAGTCTACCTGCCAGATACAGCTGTTAGGAGAAGAATTGCAGGGCTGGGGTTTTTGTGTCTCTTACCACTAGGAGGGGAAAAAAAAAAAAAAAGGCTTCTGCAGTGCATATCTGGAGGCTGCTGACACCATATAGTGATGTTGGTTTAAATGTAGTAGAATTCCAAATCATGGAGGCTTTTTTGGGTTTGTTGTTTTTTTTTTTTCACCCCTAGACAATGAGATCTGATACTACCCTTTCACCACAGCTTCTCCCTAATTTTCACCTTAAGTTTATAAACTTGTTTGTGTTGCAATGTGTCTTTCAAGCACACTTTGCTCCTATCTTGTGTTAGTTTCAGAATGTTTTTGTTAAATCGTACCTTTCTTATTTATAGGAAACAAAACACCTTTATTTGGAGACTGGCAGATAAAACTACGAACTGCATATGATTAATAGAAGGGAATGTGTACCGTGGTCTGTGGCTACTGGGGAAAACTGTTAAGTCCTTAAGATTTAGTTGGTAGAAGTAATATTCCCCAAGGAGACCAAAATCAGTGTTTCTTTTGGCTTCCAGAGAGCAAGTGGATTGTGAGAGAAACTGAAATTCTGGGATTTTTGTTTGTCCAATCTGTTTTTTGGGTGATCTTCCAAAAATATGGTGCTGATAATATTCTTCCCTGTGGAAGGCCCAGATTTGCACTACTGAAACCTGTTTTTTGTAGTGGGAAGAGACACAAAAAAATCCCCACCCTGTAATTCTTTTTTCCAACAGTTGTATCAGCAGTGGTGGTATTGTGTGGAAGGACACCTAAACTAACCTAGTAACTCATGACACAGTGAACGGGATAAAAGGGGGGTAAGGTATAATAGAAGCTCTTTCTGAGTTATAACTTTATCTATAAAGCTATACTAGTGATAAATTTCTGGTTTAAGGTTTTGCAAATAAAACACACCTTTCTGTTACATGGACACCCGAGAAGGTAGCCTCTCCTGTGTGAGCAGTATCTTTGGAATGTGACAGGAGAGCACTGGCACATTTTAATTGAAACTTGGCAGCAAAATATACTAGTAAAGCATTGGGGTTCACTTTGTTAGAAAGGACTGTTCTTAACAATTAAATAAAATGACTGTCGTACAGATCTGTGCAGAGAAAATGTTTCTGTGAGTCTTGTTATGCTCTAATAAGCTTCCCATTATAAACAGCCTTCTCTACCAAGTATCACTGTGGCTGTCAGCAGCTATGAGTAGGCCTAAGAGATGAGAATGCCACTTAAAGAATCACAAAGTCTCTTCAGTGCCTACGTGTTTAGTAATTAGCGTGCTTCCTGGTAACTTGCTACATGGTGAACTGCAATGGTTATGAGGTTATGGTTAAGTGGATACTGCCTTGCCAAGCTATTTGGTTAAACTGGCAAATTTATTATCTTTCAGTCACCTTGCTACATCCCTCCCCTTACCTCCAGAGAGGGATCACCTTCGGCCCAGGATAGATCTGGTTGCATTTATGATTGACATCAAGAGCAAATACAGGTAAAAGAAGGGTGAACATATGAAAGGGGAAACTGATATTCTTTCTTGGATTGATGGCTAAATCTACATTTTTACTGTGTCAGAATTGCTGAATAGTGGATTTCAAAGCCAAGACTCGCTGTGGTGGAACAGCTCAGTAATATATACAGTGTTTTTCTGGCCTCCAGCAATGGATTAGGACTGAACCGCTCTGTCCAATAACATGCCTGTTGTACACTAAGTTGCCATAGCAGAGGAGGCAGAATTTGTTCTTGGATCCAGATATGGGATGATACAAACCGGGCTTTGGAAAGATGCTGTCTGTAAAATTAGATGGAAATGATGGTGGTGCTGTTAAGTTCTGTAATATGCAGATGGCTGATGTGCGCTGCGTAGTGCTACCTGTTAACGAGCCAGGTGCTGCATCTGTGTTGCCAGTTCACTGATACTGCTGGTCAAGTGGGATCAGCACTATGGATGTCTGCAGGGATTGATCCCTTTTCTCTCATCTTGTGCTCGTCTTTGTAGCAGTGATATTTGTGTCCCCAGGCCATAAGTAAATACTTGCTAAGACACAAAAGTTAGCATTTTGTGACTTGCTTAACTTGTGACTGATGATCCTGGGCTCTAATTTACCAAAAATGACAGGCCCAGCTGCATACTTACTGCACAGATGGTGCTGCAGAAATGTGTGGACTAGCTCTTCTGAAAGAGCTGAAGCAGTGCTGAAGTCTTGTTGAATATTAATGAATTTGGATGCTTAGTGTCTGCAAATCATGGAGGACACCATTCAAACTAAGACTAACTGTTGAGTATGTTGCGGATTATTAAACAGCTGTGGGTATTGCAGAGGTCTCTGATGCCATGCTTTTAGCACAGAGCATAACTCTGCCAGCTCACAGATCAGCAGATGTTAACATCATTGGTTTTCTAATTGTGCTTCTGAAAGTTATTCCCTTTGTCCTTGTGCTGCACTGGTTTTACCTCCCTGTCCAACTGGATTGTCTGTGCTTTTCTTACAGCTTGAAGAATGTTGAAGTTTCCCTAGCGTATGTGGATGACAGCTTCTTCCTGGGGAAAGTATGCTTTCTTGTCACTGGGGGTATGTACAGCATCTGCCCTCTTCCTCCTCTCTGAGCAGCACAACTCACTATTACCTTCCTTAAAACAGGGTAGTGACTTAACTTGAAACAAAACAAAGGAAACCAGTGGCTTTGTCGAAAGCTTTGTTTAAATTATATCTGAACTCGTCTGCCTTTTTTTAATCGTTTTCTTAGATAAAACGTAGTTCTCTTATCTCATGTTCACTTGCTCTCTCCTTGTTTTTGCTAGTCAGACCTCTCTGTCCCTAATCCCTGAATATGATTTGTGTTACTGATGGGGTTTTTTTTGTGGCACTGCAGAAGTCTGTTCTATCTGCTCTTGCAGATATGTCTTAATGATGATCTTAATGAGCAGCAAGGAGCATATGGTACTGGGGTAATAAAATGAATCTAAGTGGGTGAGCTACTAAACTATTAAGTACAGTTTTAATACAAGACTGGTATCCCTGCCGTGTACTGCCTGGCCCTGTTGTGCCTCTAATCTCTTTCTCTCTCTCTCTTTTCTCTCTCCCTGCCTTGAGTGGAGAGGGTGCTTTCCTGCGTACCCTCCCTTCTTCAGCTCTGAGGAACTGGAGGGACCAGACTGTACTGCTCAGTGTTGGAACAGTGGTGCTGTGTCCCTGAAATCTGGGGGTCAGGAGGCCTAATTCTGGGTTGAGAAGGAGTCTTAGCATTGTCTTGTGCTATGGCTCTCGTGACGGAGTGAATTCCTTGGAGACATGACCACCCCATGATACCACATGAGCCAGGAGGGCTTCTGATTAGTGAGTGGAAGATTCTGCCCATGCTGATAGTGTACTGATCCCTTATCCAAAATGTTAATGTTACAGTACTCAGTAATGTGGCAATACTATTCCTGCTGTCAGTATTATGAAAGGCTTCTGTGCTAATTCCATTGGGAATCTTGTACCATTCTGTTTGTACTGCTTGCTGTTGCCTTACCTTCTATTGTGCTCTCAAAATTAGCTCTGGATCATTTGTGGATGTGGAATTTCCTGGTACTTTTCTTCACTGAATGTTGATTTATGGGGCTTGTAATGTGGGAAAACTTTTTCTGTAGTTGGCAGGGTGAATTACTGCAGCGTAGAGATGAACGCCATCCGGAACCTGGGAGAAGTCTACTGCAGCCCTGTGCTATTCTGTGAGCTGGAGGTAAGGTGCTTATTTGGTATCTGAAGGGATTTGTGAATTCCACTGCTCTCTGATCCTTAGGAGTGTCATTACATTAGCAATAAATATATGTACATGCGCTACTGTCTTGTGGAAGTGTGAGAGACCAGACTCTTTCTACAAGAGCAGTAGAGGTACAGGAGTCTGATAGTCCTTGAAATGAGTCTTCTAGATTACCTGCTCCTTCCTCATGCTACTTCAAAGGCTCAGGAAGCCAAGTCTAAATTAACAAAGACTTCTCTGATATACAAAGCTTTGGTACACTTGTTCCTTGAGGCATCTTCTTTTCCTGGGAGCCCCTGAGCTTTTATTTGCCATGTGACTCTCTTGCCTACGTAATGCTTCCTGTTAGCTGGGCTTTGTTGCTTCACAGACTGTTTTGCCATCTGATATGCTGCTCTTTCCAATTACCTGCTTGGTCTGAAAAGCTGGAGGGAGAGTTTGGCATTCAGCGGTAGCGCACTTAACTTTTCTGTGTACTCATCATTCCACCCTCAGAGACTGCTTCCCTACCAGCAGGTAGTATCTGTGCCTTTGGCAAGCCCTTCAGGGTTTTCGGCTGACAATGCTGTACCTTCCCTAACGTTAGGGGAGTAAATGGGCCTCTTCAGGATTTTCTGTAGCTAGCTGCTCTGAACCATACTTAATGTCTGCTCTGGTTCATTCTTTTATCACAGCTTAGCACTGCTTTTCTTCTTTTCTATTGGTTAAGTAATTTCTCCATTTTGTTTCCAGGTGGAAGGGTCACAAGTTGCCACTGCTCAGCGACTTCTCCGGATGTTAGAGATCTGTGCTGGTCACGTACCAGGAGTTTCTGCCTTGTCCTTTAGCTCACTGATGAGAAACTGTGCTGATGACTAGCTTCTCATTGTGAGAATTCAGCCACATTCATCAGTTTTTTCACTTCAGGCATTCAAGCTGCTGCAGTTGGAATCACATTGGGAAGCTTTTTTTGCCTGACTTGTCATGACCACTCATCCAGAGCTGTTCCTAGTTGCTAGTCTCTCAAGAAAAGCTTGATTTGTGTTCAGTGGATAACATAGGTGCTGGGAGGAGGGCAGTTTGAATTGGGAATTCCTGTCCATTATTACATCCGAATCCCATTTCATGATCAAGTTTGAGTTTTACCCACTTTGCCAGTGGCCAGGAGCTACATGTTTTACTGAGAGAATACTGGAAGAACGGGCCACTATCCCAAATGCTGCATGTCATGATTGAGTATCTTCATTTCAGTGTCACCAGAGTACTAGAGAAGAGACAGCAGGCTCCTGCTTCCTTTCAGTTGAAATACAGCACCTTAGACTAATGTGAAACCTGACTGCCAGGTTTTGTCTCCCCACCAAGAGAATAATGGGGAAGAAAGGCTGTCCTGCAGCTTCTAGATAGACTGCACTTGGTAGTTAGTGATTCAGCTGTGTGAGCATCTGCCCAGTGAAGGGCTTAGTATTTCCATGCCTGATACCTAATTGGGGAGGAAGGGACTAAAAAAGATAATCTAGCACTTTAGCTTTCTTTTAGACCTTTAGAGAAAAAGGCTCCATCTATCAAGCCCAGGATGACCCTAGCAACCCAGGCTCCGGGGCTGACCAGAGGTGAAACACAGCAGACTGGACTATAGCAATGTACAGAAAACACATGTCTCTTGCAAGTTGGGCATATGCTGTGTATAATCCTTTAACTAACAAGTTCTTACCAGTAGTAATGCATGCCTTATTCTTACTGCAAGTCAGTAGTGTGTTTTGGAGTTCTAAGTTAATAAAGTGTTTACTATTTAAGAATTAGTTGCATGCTCTTTGTTTAGGTGTGTGGCACGGGTTCTAAAACCTATGAACACTTGCCCCAGTTGGCCCTGGCAGCAAGGCTGGTCCTTGCTGGCAGTTTGCACTTTTTCGGTGGTGGGCTGCAGTCAAGCTTTCAGCCACGTGGTGGTGGCAAAAGCTTTCTGAATGTAATCCTTCCTGCATACTGAGTTGTGTCACCTCCAAAATACAGTGTTTCTTGAAATGCTGGGATGTTTCTTACCCAGAATTGCATGCCAGGTAGAAATGAAGCCTAGAGAGAATGTGTTAAGCTCCCCTCTGGTTTAATTTATTTAATCCCTAATAGTCTGCTTCAGTGTTCCTAGGTGCAGAGCTCTAGCTGCCTGTGCTGTTTCACTTAGCTTGTTTCTGACATCTGTCTGTGAGCAGGAAAAAGCAGAAAGCAGCACTGCAGGCTTAATCAGCTGTGAGTGTTGGCAGTCCTTGCGAAGAGCTCAGCAAGGCACAAAGCCTGTATCCTTGCTCAGAGGACACACAAATCCTAGCTCCAGTTGTACTGTTGCTGGCGGGGGAGGGCTAAGTTGTTTGTCAGCTGGAACAAAAGGAGCTAAACCATTCAGTTGTGTCACAGTGCCCAAAAGGGCTGGACTCTGGCTAAAACCCAAAGGAGAAAGATATGTGCAAGCTCATGGCCATGTACGAAGGATTGGAAGCTTAATGGGAATGCCCTACTTTTCAGCTAGCTTTGTGATCCTGAAGGTACTAGCCAGGACTTTGCCACCAGAGAGGGGCAATCATGCTGAGAAACAAGTTTCTCTGTTGGTTATGCTGTCTCAGTCTTGCTCTCGCTTTGGGTCCCTCAAAATAAATGAGACCATGGTTTAGAATAGACTGGTTTCGATTTGCTCTTGATGTGCAGGTGCAGGCTGGGGGAGGGAAGGAAGGGCTGCGGCATGAAGTGAGCCAGTCTTTCGTGTCCTCCACAACTGCTGTAAGGTAAGGAGGCTCTTCTGTCTCCTAGGTTGCTCTCCAGTTGCTTCTAATAACTATTGGATTCGGGTAAAATCCCTTCAGCCTTGAGTAATTTCACTGTGCTTTCTTAACTGGTGAAAATAAAACTTTCTTTGGTTCACCCAGAATGCTTTGTAGCAACCGACACATGCTATTGTCCATTCCTGTACCTTCAAACTGTTTTTTTTTCCACTGCTGTGTTTCAGATGCAGTATTTCTTTCCTTCTACTACTTTCAAAGAAGAAAAATGCTGTTTGTACTTCCTACAGGTGGCCGAATCCCAGCTGGTACAAAATAAAATCTCGTTCCTTAAGAGCAGCATCTTGCTTCACCTTGGGGCAAATATTTTTTTTACTCTTGGGAAAAAGTCTTTACTAGAACTGGCAGGGGAAGTAGAGCGTATCTAAGAATATGACACTGTGTCTCAGGTCCATCACGTTTTACAACCAAAAGTATTTGGGACACATCTAAAGCGACAGCTTCAACTGTGTAAATACCTCTAGGAACTGTCAGCTATTAGTTTAGACAGGCCATAACACAGCCCCTACCAGAGAAGACAAGGCAGCTGAGGGTATCTTTCATCTGGATGGAGCAGCCAGGGCTAATGTTTGATGAAGTCTTGTGAAAGTAGTACTTGGATTGGGATCAGAGGCAGGGAAGGCCTGAAGCTGAATTAAGGCTAGTGACTCAGGTTCTGTTGTGTTTAAACATTGCAAAACAGCTTGCCAAGCTGGCTGAAATCTAAACTAGCAAATATTTTGGAGTTACTTGCTTTCTCTTCCTCTCTCTGTTACCTCAGTTCCCTACCCTTGTGGAGATTTACAAAGAGAAATCCCCCTCTCTGTGGTAAAAGTACCCATGAGCATTGCTGGTTTGACTGTTTCAGTTTGTGGATGTGTTTTTGTTTGTCAGCAAAATTAGTGTAAAAACAGTTTAATTAGCATAGAAGACCTTGCACCAGTTGCAGTGGTGTAAGCTTTGGTCATGCAGTGCTTTTCTTTGGGTGGAACTGAATGAGGCTGTAATAAGGTCTCTTCTGCTATGGCAGGTTGACCCACAGGATTTTGCCTTCAGTCCCGTCACTTGAAGATTTTGTGTCCTCAGCCTGCTAGCCGAGCTGCTCACAGAGGTGCTCTGTGAGAGATTTCAGCACAAATCAGCTTGGTTGGCATTACTTTTTGGGATTATAGCTCTCTGCTGGCCCAGGTTTTCCAAGGGAAGGGGTCTTTTGCTGGCTTCGCCACACCAGCAGTTAAATCAGACCAACTTTTAAGCGTGATAAGACTTGATATGCTCAGTCTGTACTAACAGGAGAAAAAGTCTTTGTGCTGATACGCCTCTAGTAAAAGATCTCTCTGTCCTGGAACAAAGATCAGAGATAAATCCAGCCCTGGGGCTGTCCCTCCAAACCTTGAAACTGGTGGGAGAGGTTTAGAATCAAGGCCACCTCTAATATTTGCTTTGGAGACTGGTTAAAACTGAATGTCTGCTTGCCAAGACCTGTAGTTTGAAGGGGCTGGCTGGGTTAGGTCAGCGGTGGCACTCAGCAGCTGTGGTCACGCTGTAAGATCTGCTTGGTAGCTCTCATCATGACCACTGTCCACAGCAGTGGTGGACAAGAAGGGATTCCTCCTCTGCTGCCTGGAGCTGACCTGCAGAGCTGTGGCAGAGGTACCTGCTCTGCTGGCAAAAGCAAGGGAGACACTTTCTCCTGTGGGGTTTTTAACTTGTCTTGATTTTGCAGGAGCACTGGGCTTTGCTCTGGCCAGATTCCAGCTGCTCTGTCTCCATTCAGCTGGCTCAGATCCCCTGGCAGTCTCCTCTGCACACTGAGTGTTCTCCACATCCCACCCAAAAAGCTGGTGTGCAATGTTGCTGTGGGCTGCTGAATAACTGCCACTTTCCATTCAGTGGCCAGCTGTCCTTCACTGGTGGGGAAAAGTGATTTATATGCAAGAGAAAGCAATAGCTGGCACAGCCCAGAGCTGGGAGCCAGAAATGCTGGACTTGTTTCGCCTCTGTGGCTGATTTCTTGCATTACCCTGGGCACGTGTCTTAAAATGCACTGTGCCTCGCTTGCTCTGCCTCTACAGCAGGAGCTGCATCCACTGGAGGGGTGTGATGAGGGTGAATTAACATTGCTTTGGGGTCACAAATCTGGAATTGGGTGGAAACATTTGGAAGAAACCATTTTTTCCTAATTAGCAGAGTTTGATTTTTACCTAAGTTCTGGGGGAGGAGGGTTTGCTGGCACCTGCTTGCCAGGCACCTGCTGAGATCGGCTGTGTTTTGTGCTGCTTACCTGCCTGACTGCTGCAGGCAGGGAGGCTGCCTGAAACTGGGCTGCGATCCTTCTCATAAGGCATTGCGGCATGGTTGGGGTTTGTTGTGAACTGGAACAAAACCACCCTCTGAAACGCTGAAATTCCCCGCACAGTTCAATTATCCTTGAGTTGGCCGGTGGGAGAAATCAAAGTCTCTGGATCTCTTCCTCACCGTTAAATATTAATACGGCGTGGCAATGCTAGGCAGGATGGCATCCCCTCGGGTCGCCTCTGTGCAGGAGGGGCTGTCTTGGCTGTGAAGAACCAGTGTGCGGGAGACGTTGGGTGCAGGGGACTCGGGAGTGATGTGACTTGCTCAGACTCCTTGGCAGCTGAGTAGCGCGGGCTCCCGGCCCGTGCTGGGCCACGTTTCCCTTGCCACAGGCTTCTTCTGCAGGAGCTGACATGTGCCGTGATGCCGACATCCCTTGTGCCCCTCGAGCTCGCCGTGTGGTGGGGTGTTCTGCGAGGAGCCAGGAAAGGCGCCGTGCCCGTCCCCCCGCCTCCTTCACTGAGGGAAGTCAGCGGTGTGTGAAAGAGAGCCCGTGTTTTACATACGCGCAGGCTGCTTCCCCGCCACCGGCCCAGGTGCAGCTGCAGGCTGGGTGCGAGAGCCCCGGGGGCTCTGCGCGTCACGGGAAGGAGCACCGAGGTGGGGTGAGGACAAAAACAAAGAAAGAAGCCACCTCCCCTTGGGAAACCTGGCCCTGGTGTGCAGGGGCTGCTCCATCCTCCAGGTCCTGCCACCCTCTCTGCCCTACAACCAGCTGTGCCAGGGCCAGCTGAAGTGCCCGTACTCTAGAGTGGTCCCCATGCAGGAGCGAGGCAGAGGCATGCTGGTGAGCACTTGGAAAGACCTAAAAAGCCCAGCTGGCCCTAAACAAGCTAAGGAGGCTTCACCCATTTTCTGGCAGCACGGAGTATTTTCCTTTCCTGTCCTCCCATGGAAGCGCTCCCGTCCCACCGTGTGCCCACCCTGCAGCGACGGGGTGACAGTGCCGTGCTGCAGCTGGGCCTGCCTTGCTCCTGCCCTGCTGGCTATGTCACTGCAGTGCTTGGGTTGGTGAAATACCTTGGGCGTTTGCTGAGGGTTGGCAGTCCTTGAGGCACTTATCGCTGTCTGCGCTGGTCAGCTCAAAGCTCTCCTGAGCCTCTGTGCTGGCTGCTCTCCTAGGTTTGGCGGCAGTGTTGGCATCACCCGAATGTGAATGTTCATTTCCACACACCCCCCTCACTGTTTCCTTTTCTTGCTCTTCCAGAGATGACAGATGTGAAGCCAGGGCTGCGTTTGACGTAGCTCAGTATGTAACAACCTGTGGCTTGTGCTGCAGTGAAGCACCTCTCTTCGAAGCAATTTGCCAGCATCAACTAATTAGTCCTCATTTGCCCGTGGGACTGAGAGGTGACTCAGTGCATTGTGCTGTTACTCCGAGCAGCAGAGATTCAAAGGCATTGGAGCTGGGGAAGCCCTGGGATAGCGCAGTGTTGCTCTGTGCCTGCACACCGGGCACCTGTAAAGGCTCAGTCTTGCACACTTGTCTCCAGGGCTCCTTTTCAGCCACGCAGAGGGCTGAAAGGTCTGCTACCTTAGAGACAGGGCTGGAGCTGCCTTCACCTTGCTCTGCAGGGAGTGTTTTTACTACCTGGTGGGTGTTCTCTTTTGATCTTTTCTGTCCTGTTGCTCCTTCGTTATAACCCAACTTGGCCATCCTGAACAATTCTCTCTCCTTTTCTCACCTACAGGTCTTTAACGCCTCCCTGGCATCTCTGCTTGACTGTGCCGAGCAGCGGGCATGTGTGTCCAGGTGAGAGGCAGGGGCAGAGAGGCCTGGGCACTGTGGAAATAGAGCTGTGGTGGTGGTGCATGTCCCCCTCAGGCTCCATGACCCCCAGCGAGCTGCACACCAGGCTCCGCTAGCACAGCGGCCCTGAAGAAGTGCAAACAAACCCCTGCATCTGGCCGTGGGCTGCCCTGGCATCCATCGTGCTGCTGTGTGAGCTGCTCCCGGGGAAGGGAAGGGGAGCTGCTTGCGTGCAGATGTTGCATAATACTGACCTAGTTTGAACACAAGTTTGCGGGCTGGGAAGTGTTTGCCCAGCCTGCAGGGAAGAGAAAGCCCCTCCGGGGTGAGGGCTGCTGCACCACATTCTCTGCTCTGTGTTATGAAGGAGATGAAACATGAAGCGTGTGCTTTCTCCAAAACCTGGCTCTTCCCTCTTGCCCAGGTTGCACGTGGAGCATCACCTGCATGAGTCCCCTCTGTGTGTGCATGAGCTGTGGTTTGGCTGAGCTCAGCCACTGCATGGGACTAATATGTAGTGATGGTGTCCTATAAATTATATAGTCGGTATGTTCACCATCTGCTCTGCGCCGAAAGCCGAGTGTGATTGAGACCTTCCCCCCTTCCCAAAGCTTGACTCTCTTGCCAGGCTTGAAATGTGTGCGGATCTCACGTAAGTGGTTCTGATTGAATCAGGTAAAGAGGGAATTTTTTAAGCAAGCTGCAATG